AACTACTTGAGCAAAAAACCCTGGACGCTTTTGCGCACTACCATATCTCTTGGACACGATGACCGAAACCGCACTGAACGAAAAACGACAGCAATTTAATTTGAGCACACTGCTGCTGATACCGAAACAACACCCCTGCGCAGAAAAGGCACAGAATATCCCTGCAGCACATTGGGATCGATACAACTTGACCGAAATCTTGAATCCAACTTCCACACCTGGAAACGGTGTTGAAATAACTGAGAGAGAAAAAAATTAATACTGGGTGTCCGAAAAGCTACTGTGCACTGCTGGGAAAATAGAGATTCCGAAAAGAGATTTCCTCTTTTATTATAAAAAATATGTATATATACATTGGATTTTTCCAGAAAGAAACCAAAGCTGCTAAAGTTGAGAATAAAGTGAAAAAATATGTCATAGCAATTCTATTCTAGAAACATTCTCCATTTGGCAATGGGGACTCATCACGTAGTGTTATAAAATAAATGTTCTGCGCGTACCAGCGACATCTACCAACTGTGAAAGGCGAGAAAGGGGGAAATGTCATTCTTTCAAGTGCAATAATTCTCTGCGTCTTCCTCTCACAGCACAGAATATTTTCGGACACTCCAACAAATCTCGAAGTCACCCGAATTGAGTGGAAAGAAATTTAGCTGGATTCATTTCAAATGCCCTGACTCCTCGAAAAGAAACCGACACAAAGATAAATAAAGTCATTTAATTTAAAACAAAATTCGATAATTCTGCCGGAAACATGATTTAGAGAAAATAATGACGTGAAGAGGCATAATGAAGTGAACGAAAAGCGGAAAATGGATGGAATAAGGTGTTAAAGAGGCGTGGTTGGCTATACAAAGAGAGGAAGGAAGCAAATGGCGTCCCGTCTCGTAATGGAAGATGGCGGCTCACTTGGCAGGAAATGGTCTCCCTTCAAGCATTTTTGTTTTTGCAATGCGATGGCAATCCTTTCTGAAAAAAATTCAATGATCGAATAACTTTTCAATGTTTCGAATGCGTATATATATTTTTTTATGAACTTGAGGTTTGTTATTCAAGCTTTATTTTTTAGTCATATTTACCGTTATATACCCATTTAACTGCATGAAGAAGATGTTGATTCTGATGCTTTTCTGGTTGGATCTCAATACCACAGCTGAATGCGAGGAAGTTGAATGGAAATTCCAAAAAGCATGAGTTATATTTTGATAATACCTAGAACTGATATTCCAGATTTCGTCTCCAATAAGGAGCACTGAATATCCATCATGATCATCAGAAGTCTAACAAAACTGTTGAAGACTGCAGCACTTCTTGTTAGCTACATTCTTACAGAATACTGTATCACTAAAATATCCCTGCTTTTCTGAAACTGGTAGTGGACTGTAAGAACCTCCAACCAGACAACTTCTTAGCCCACCTTTCAAAAAAAAAAACTTACTTCCCCAGCACCAAGTTTTCGCATTTGAAATACTTTGTATACCTGCGAAATTAATAAAAAAGTCAAGGCTCTCTTCCCACAAAATCTATGAAAACCCAAAAGAAACGTGGAAACATTTTTCTTTCAATATGAATACAAAAGGTGAACTTTGATGCATGAATTCTTCCCATTGATTGTAAGGTAGAATTTTTAACCATGAGAAATTTCCTTCAACATCTTTTCGACCTCGATAAATTGAGTTATACTGCTGAAAATCTTGGAATAACAAAGTTTCGGGCCCTTACCAGGCTGATCGCATTTCTTTTTTTTCTAGTCATAAAATCCTTGTTGTGAAATCCCCAATTTTCAAACTCATTATTTGTGTTTCGCGAGACGATGAGTTCATTTATTTATTTCAGAGGGAATCTTCTTTTGTGTGTACGAGGTTTGTCCCACTTGCGCGCGACCTTCGTTACATGTGGAGTTTCAAATGAAAAAAGCTATATCACCTAGTTCATCGTGTTGTAAGGTTCTAAGATTAATTCCGGTACTTCGGGAAATTTTTCGCATGACTGAAAATTGAAATTAATTTGTTGTTTTAACCATGAACTAAAATGGTTAAAACTTATTGAAACAATAATTTCGTAGCTGGCCTGAAATCTTAATTTTAGCAGCGCCTGTGACATGGCGGTGAAGAACTTTGGGCGTAACTGGAAAGTTTTCACTTTTCATCTTACAGTAAATTGAAGAAAAAATGTAAAAATATCCCAGAACCGTTAAACATCATATGAGCTATAATACGAGTATTTAAATGTGTTTTTCTTTTTACAGTCACACATAAATATACTGTAACTCTATAGGAATGATCGAGATTGCGCACATGCAGCAGGTATAATGGCAGAACAACCCTCGCATATATACCCGTCTATATAATCAGTGAATTCAATGGATAGCCCACCTGCTGTGGAATCAAGCGGACGTGTCTGATGGCTGCTGGTGGCCGGAAGGAAGCTCGCACTTCCTCTTTAGCGGCGTCCCGTCGCCGGCAGACGGGTGATGATGGTGTCCAGGCGGGTGACGATTCCATTCAGCAGAGCGATGATTCGGCGCAGGAGCTGATTCGTGACAGGATTGGCAGGAGGTCGGGGCGTGGCCGGGGTCAGTCCGTCCTGGCCCAGCAGGGCCAGCAGAGTGATGAGGTCTAGTCCACCGGCGCCGCCGCCGCCGACGCCGCCAAAGGGGCCGAGGCCACCTAGGCCACCTAGGCCACCCAGGCCACCCAGGCCACCGAGGAGGCCCAGACCGGCGCCACCGATCCCGGGGAAAATGTGGGTTCTCTTCACTATGGAGTGCTCGCCGTCCTCGGACTTATTGCTGCTGCTCGTCGTCCCTTCGCTGCTCGTCACGGACCTTCATTCAGTCCAGCAGGAGAAAGGACATGAAGTATAATGAAACGAACGAAAGAACAATAAGGCCAGACATCAAGAAATTTGAATTTAAATGAACCGAAGTCGTCAGCTTCTGTTGACTACAAATGATCCATGTTGCCTAACGGGGTGTTCCGAAAAAAAAGGAAAAAAAAATTGGAGGTATTATACAGGATATGTCAACCTTGCTGGTATGAACAGACAATTAACCCCTTTATGGCGGCGGTACTAGGATAATTTTTTCACTAATTTCTCAATAGACATTTTTTTTTAATTTTAAAACATATTGCATTGGCAACTTTTGCCTGAATAATTTGGAAATATTCTATAATTTTTCTTTTTTTTCAATTTTTGCAAACAAGTTTTGGGAGAGGCGAAAAATATTTTTAAAGGCTGGGTTTTCTTTTCAACTTTCAGCCATGGGGTTAACTTGGGGGGACCTGCTTGACTTTATGCCAATCATCCTTTCCTGGCTCATCTGATTATCACCCGGCTTAGACTGCTCTGCCCTGAGGCAATTTTGGTGACCTTCAGTCAAACCTAAATGTGCTAGCCTTAAAAAATCATTGCACTGCAACGCAAATGAAAAGAATCCGTCACTGGTGAAGGGTTAAAGCATTTCAAACAATTTTAAGGATACCAAAAGGGTAAACACAAGGTACAACCTCTATGCACATGCCAGGTGACGCAATGCCACATTGTTTATTTGAAAAATACACATATTTTGGGATCAAGAAATACTGTATCAAGTAATGACCCATAACCTGTGGGGAAACCACCAGCAGCAGAAGCACTATGTCAACCTTTCTGAAAAAAAATTGTCTTCTCTAAATTGGGATATGTGTTGAGAAATGCCTTTCAACTTGAGCATGCAACAATTTCTCACTCATTTCATCAATGAGTTGTGATAATTGTCTGATGACAGTTCTATTTCTTGCAACACTGTGACATTCAGGCAATTGTGTCCCATGCAAAATGACGTTGAAAAAATGTATAGGACACATTATTGAACTCTTCATGAAAGAAAGAGAAATCTAAGCGAATTTTATTTCAGGGGTTTATTCATCAAAGTTCGACCAGACTTCGAATTTTTGTCTCAGAACAAAAAATCAGTGATCGAAGCAAAAATATATATTTTACTCATTTACTTCTGCTGAAATTTTTCATTTTTCGAATGCTTAAAGATGGAAATTTATGACTTTTGTTCGAAAGAAAATGCCAAACCGCGACCTCATGTTTCTTCTGAAATGAAATGAAATTCTGCAATTTAGCAAAGGTCTTTCTAAGTAATCCAAGCTTTTATTTGCAAGGAATGTCATGATTCGACTCCTGGGATGCATAAAATGGAAGCTGGAGAAGTTCCCTCGATCTTAAATATGTCCAAGGACAAATCAATAGATCAATATTTAGTCTGCAAAAAATAGCAAAAGAATATTGCCAATAATTTCCTGACCTTATCCTCAGCACCCAGGATTCCATGAATTTGATTCAAGCCAGCACTTCTCTATATTTGAATTAAATGAGATACAATTAACTCTCTGGTACTCAGGAGTTAAAGAGGACACTATACAGACATTGTCCTTGTAACTACTTTTGTGTCTCCCTATTTTTTTTAGCACAATTGCACCCGGACTGCCGGATATGAATGGCAAACGATTTCAGGAAAAATTAAAAACAAGAACAACTTCATAATGTGGATTACAGCTGGGTCGGTTTCAACCTTGTTCTTTTCTTCCATTTGTTGTTCGTCGTCGATTTTGGGCCTGCATAGATAATCCTTCAAAGCATCGTTTTCAGCGCATGTGTTTTTTTTAGAAGAGTTATCAACGATCAGCTGCTACATATGGAACCCGAATGCAACTGACAGACGCACAAAACAACACCGTAATTCAGCCCTGATACTGAGGAAGTCATACATGCACCTTTTTTATTTTGAAGTTGCAGTTTTCTATTCGGAAGGTTATTATTATTTTTAAGCTCAGAAGGGCTAAGATATTTTACGGTTTGCAGGGGACATTCATAGAGATTGCTCAGTTTTTATTTTTGAACGATCCTGTCAAACTTTTTTCATCCCATGTTAAGTTTCCTTGAAAGGATTCTCTCAATATTTCCTCCATTAGGAATTTTATCTGAGATAAGGTTACAAAACATCCACAATTGATACTCTCCAATTAAAATGTAAAGAGACCAGAAAAATTTCCAGTTGGGGAGGTTTTTTCTCAGGGAAGCAAGCAATTTTTTTTGTGGGAAAGAAAAAAGAAGTGGAAGGTTTACTTTATTTTTGTCATTTGTTTGTGCTTTGTTTCATGCTTTGAAATGATTGAATGNCTTTATTTTTGTCATTTGTTTGTGCTTTGTTTCATGCTTTGAAATGATTGAATGTATTTGGGGGAGTTGGGTTGGGTGGGGAGGGGGTTTGGATGCGGGAGTTCTGGTTATTCCTTGTGAACGCTGGAAAGCGGCAAATAAAGTTTTCTGTTCATTCATTCATTCATAAAGTTTTCTGTTCATTCATTCATCATTCACTTTATTGTGATATTCTGGGCCTTAAATTGCTTCTTAAATGAGTTGACAGGATGCTGAACTTGGATGCAAGGGTTAATTTTCAAAATTAGTCTCTCACTTTCTTTCAAAACACATGAAGTTACTTTTTTATTGCTTTTGTCTTTCCTGTGTCATGAAAATAATAGTCAAAAAGCTGTAGAAAATTTGAGCTAGGGAGGTTTGAGAGAAAATACCTTTGAGTTATAGTGACGTCCTGTTCATTCTGTGTTTGAGTCCAAATTCTTTTTTAGAATGGGAGATGCATTTCAATTTGACCAAAGGTCACTGAAATGTCTACAGGTTGGGAAGGCCAAAGTGGGAAAAAATCTGGGTGGACAATATCCCTTTGTACGTCTTCAAAAATCCCCAATTTTAATCTTTTACTAGGAATGCATTAAAAAAACTCCAAACCAGTGAGATACTTTTTTTGTCATTTTTTTGGAAAAATTTTATGCAGAATTACTTTTTTTTTAATTGAACTTTTTCCTGACTTGGGCCTTGGTTTAAAAGTATGATTTTTTAAAATGTTCAATGCTCATGAGCACACAATTTTTCAAAAATCCCAATTTCATTGCACAAGGGTTAATGCATTGTTCCTAGGGAAATTCAGACAAGGACTTTTAAAAAATTGACTCATAGGGAGGTATTTGACTTGCTGGGGAAGTTTGAGTTATCCAGGTTCAACTCCATACAAACCCCATCTCACAGCAGGAGAAGCTGTGCAATAAAATGGACAGCTATCTAATTACTCTTTTCTTCATCATCATCATCATCATTACCACCATCATTTTCTGCATGATGAAGAAAAGGGGGGACAATAGCAATAATGGCCATCTTCCAGCTTATTGTAATGCACACCCTCGGCACTTGCGTGCAGTCCATAAAACGTGGCCAGGAAAGAAGTTCCGCCCAGGGATATTCTGTCACGTCAGCAGGAACTCGAGTGTCACACTGCCCCTGACGACACAGGATAGCCGACACATTATCCCGGCCTGCAGCCCATAACTATGGCTTTTTTTTTCTTCCTCTTATATTTTCCGACTACACCGAAAACCCCGACGACGACGACGATGGATGCCAAGAATTCATCAGGGTAATTATCCCGCTAAATCACACATGTGACCTTTTTCTCATAGTATCTCGAAGAGAGAGAAAACGTAATTAAAGTAAGTAACTGCTGCATATACAGCAGTGAACTATATGAATAAGAGGAAGAGATATTTCCAGTGGGAGTTTTCTGGATTCCTCATCGTTGAGCACTTTTGTACACAACATCAGAATTTCTCATCATCAGGTGACTATACATAGAGAAACAGCCTTCTTTCTTTGACAGGTACCATTCAGTACTTTTTTTTTACAAAGATTGAATGAATGCAAGAAAAAATAAGTTGTAAATGTCACCATAACAAGCCTGGAAATTCGGACGAAATAGCTGATAGTTCTTGCAATTTTACAGGTAGAATGCGAATCCCTTTCATGACTTCAAATATTTTCCCAAATATCCCGCCACACCTGTATACACAGTGTTTCAAAGATAACATTATCTCTCGAGAAGAAATATTCCATTCAGTGGCATGTATGACAGAAACATTCCATCAAAGTAATGAATTTCATGCATGAAAACAGCCCTTTGAGTTCCTCTGAAAAATGTCAGGTCACGTAAAAACTGGTGGCATTTTCAATCCTGTGAAAAAGTGGGCTTTGACAATAATGAGAATGCAAAAACTACGTTGAAATATGATGCAAAAGTAATTGTCATCAATCGATTATTATCAAGTCCAATAATCATTTGCAGTCTTTCTAAGATATCCTCATTTCACAAATCATGTTCAAATTCTGAT